AGTCAGCATCTAGATTCCTTCCTATCCTGTTATAAGCTTGTGCCTAGGAGCCTTCCATGTGTCGCATCTGCTCATCGAGTTGCTGTAGATCCTTACAAGTCGATTTGTAGTCTTGTCGAGTCGATTTGTAATTACACAACTATGTGAGGTTTATGAGAACGCTTGCTCGTCATCATGAGTGCAGTCGACTTTATGAGGTCGACTGAGTACCATGATCGGTTGGACGATTTCTGGGTATCTGATGGGCCGAATCGACATCACCTGTCTCGTCCTAGTGGGATCGTCTACAGTCTTTAGTCGAGCAACCTCTAACCGAATCGGACCGCGACAATAGGGTTATATCACTCATTATCTTGGGGAGTAAGTCATTAAACTCTTATAAATAAGGGACCAGGTTCATTTTTTATTCCTAAGCTCTGATGATTGCTTAACATACACGATCAAAATATATGTTTTCTGACTTGAGCGTAGAGTGTCTACGCCGGGGCTCTGCCCCGGTGCTTTGCAGGTCGATCCGGTTCTTGAAGACAAGACAATCGAGACAGTCGGACTATCACACAATCAAGATGAGGCGGTTCGACCGGCAACCTAAGTGAGTCGATTATTTTGGCTCATCAATTGGCGCCGTCTGTGGGGACATCGTTCAAAAAGTCAAAAATCAACCATGGCGAACAAAGCTCCTACCACTCATGGAAGATAAGTGCAATTTTTTTGAGTAAAATCTGATATATTCATTAATGGTGCAACTAAAATTGAGAAACGCTGGGGAGTTGTATCTCTAATGCCGACAGAGTGTTTGATAAAATGAATAAATGATAATATGCATATCTCAAATCAGGGAATAAAATATTTGGGAATAAAATTTCGATGATTCGCAGCATCAAGCATTGTTTATGTTTCACATCAATTGAATTGTCTTATAATTATGTAGCGGATTCCGTGTACTAATTAGTTGGATTATTTGCAATTTTTTGATTGATTTCTCCATGTGCTAAATCCCATCATGAATGGGTCTGAGGTAATTGGCAACCTTTTCGAGTGACATGTATTATTTCTTTTTGAGAAGTGTATGTTATGTTTCAAGGTGCCCAAAAGTATTGGTGGATATAATGGCGTAATTAGTTGACCATTATAGTGCAATAATTAAGTGGATAAGGTGCTTAGCTAGTTTAGAGAACTTCAAGTATAACCTTCTTGTTATGTGGGGTACAACTACTCTTAAAAAAAATAAAAATATTGTGCTTATGAGATATTATTGGTTATTTATGCTTCAAGAGTTCCGGTCCATGAGGAAGAGGAAGGATTGAGCAAAGTGTTAAAACGCTAGCTTATACTGCATAATGATCTAGTAAAATGGTTCAGACAAAATTATATGTTTATTGCTGATTTGAGCACCGTGTGTAAACTTTTTATTCATGGTGGGGTGTTGACTATTAGGCTCAAATAATAATATGGTGTGAGGTCTTGAAGCACGTTTGTGGGATTGCGTGTGATTATGCTGACCTTATGTTTTTCAAGGTGATATGATGTTTTAAGAGAGGTATAGTATTACTTAGAA